CATTGAAGCACATTATATCGTATGTCCACTATCACTCACAACGCAAAGCACTAAGTCCATTTAAAGTATCAAACAGGTCACTGATGATTTTGATTTTGGGTTCTAATTGTGTCTAACTACAGTGTTTCGGGTTTATTCTGTAAGGTAGTTTATGAATAAAATTGTTTTTTAATGTTCCTGAAAAAAAAAAAACTTATTTTGGAGATACGTGTTTTTTATTGGACAGCAAATGGCAGCCATCTTAAAAAATAGCCATTTTTTGTCAATTTTCGAGTGCCTAATGTCATTTTTCAAAAGAGTGACCCCCGGAGAGTATTTGTACCAAATGTCATGCTTGCGTCACCATTTGAATGATTATCTTGAAATATGCAATGATCTGCTGCACTTATTAGATTACCCAGTGTTCATAATGTAACGGCTGACGGGTGTATAGTTCAGTGTCTTTGTGTTTCTGTACACAACAGCAACAAAAGAATGCCAGCTGCTCGAATAGAAGTTTTAGACCACCAATAAAGGAGGTTTTTCTGTCTATGCTGACTTTGCTCTTCTTCCAGTATATAAGAAAAGAACCCGTGTGTCTCCATTTTCTTCACCACACCCGCTGGCTGCAGCTCCTGTGTGTGATACTGGATCGACTAAGAGGAGATAACAGAGAACCTGTGTGGCTTGATAAGAGTCGAACTCATATTGAATCAGCTCTGAATATACCTCACTCTGACATATTCTGAGAGTCCTTAGCACACCTGTAATTGTATGCCTGTATGAACAGACCATGTTTATTAAGACTCATAAAGGACAAGCAATGTTACACTGTTATTTAGCAGATGGTTTTGAGGTAAGGTCCTTCTTTTTAAAGATCTTATTTTGCAAAACATAGAGAGATGGTAATTAATAGACCACAACTTCCTAATCTGCTATCAACAACAGTAAAATGTTTATTGAAGGAAAACCCTTAATCAATGGCTCACTGTTGATTGACTGTGATCATGAAGATTGTGGTAAGATGATCAGTAAATAACCAACGGTTAATATCTGTACCCTAATATTTTGCAAAATACCCTTCACCAAAATTCTGCAAATCAATATGATAAATCATTTCAACAAAAGCCACTTTAGTCTGCAGAGAATAAAAACCTTCATGGTCCGTACTGTGTGACAGATATTTCCTGCCGGTGTATATTTACAGATGATCTGACGTGTTGTTTCAGACACACAGTGTAACCACAGTGTTCCTGATCAGACCATCTTCTCTGTATTTCTTGTCACAGTTTGCTGTCAGATATCAAATCAAAACTATATTTACATAGAAAATGTTTCAGCTGCTGCTCAAGCCCTCCTATTCGTGTGTCTGTGACAGGAAACAGACACAACAAAGAGATGCTGCAGGACTACATGGCAACAAGTGACAACAATGCAAAAAATGACATTTTCAACTTTTGTCTGACTCCCACGTCTCAGCAGAAAGTATAACATGCTAAACAGGATTGTGCGACATTGTACCGCTGAAAAATAGTGCAGTGTTCGGTGAGGCTGTCAAACAATAACATCTTTGAATCGCAGAATTTAGTATTTAATTGAGGTAAATGGAAATGATCTTGACTTTGAGCTTTATTGTTTCAGATAAGCCCTACACTGGTCTGAAACCCTGATGTAACGCAGGAGGGTACAATACTCTGATCAAATCTTCTTCAGCTCTTGACCTCAACTCAATCACAGAAATTATTGTTCACTGTGAGGTCATTTCTTGGATTATTTCAGACTAAACATTTAGAAATAATGGTCCTCAGGTGTCTCTCTCAGCAGAGCTGGAGGATCCCTCAGACAGACTGATTATTGAGCTCCCACTCAGACGTGTTTGAACTTTAATAACCTCCATCCTGAACAGAAAGAGGAGGTGATGAAGTCAAGGTGAGGACAGAAGGGCTGTAATCAGGTAATGATAGGGAGGCCTCCTCTCTCTCCTTCAGTTGATCTTGAAAAGTGTCTGAAGTTCAGTTTGTTGAAGACTTTTCTCTGAGCCAGCTGACCTTCATTGTTCAGACAGCTGCTGCTGCTTGACTGCAGCACCAAATGTTTGTTCTGTTCAGTCAAAGTCAAATCCAATCTGATGTGAATCTGAAGAAAGAGGATAAACAGGATAATTTACTTCCTTAGCAGCAGTTTAAATGATTGACATTTCAAGCTTTCATACTTTCTTACCCAATCTAATAGAGTCTCAGGATAAGGAGAGTCATAATCCGGTTTATATGTTGATCTGATATGAACAGCATCACAGATTCAGATCATTCAGATCATTCAGATCGGAGGCTTTTCATGTGGGCTACCTGCAGTTTGTGGTTGTTTTCATGGATTGAACTACACTTAGTAAATGCCTCGTGAACTCAGCCATTAGAAACTCCTGAGTGGTTGTGGTTTTAAATCCTCCTCAGAGCCCCTGCAGCAGGCCGGTGGGAAGGCTTGTGATCAGGGTTTCTCTTAAGACCGCCTCCCTCCTACATGCTCCTGTGACTCATTTTGGTTTTCACATCAAATTCTGCAGACAAAGTAAATCTGCATGACTAAAAATCTTCCGGCTCCCCCAGTGTGGATTTCTGCAGCAGTCAGTGTGTAAAGTTTGTGGTGATGCTGGACTCTTCACAGTGAATTTGTCAGACTTCCTCCAAGAGGAGAGGGCAGGAATGCCACGGGAGTAGAGTGCTCAGCAATCACTGCTCTTTTCTGTTTCCTTACTGGAGTCAGAGGTGAAAGTTTGGTATCAGTATCCTCTCTGTCTCTTATTTTGCTCTCAGACATCATTAGTGAAGGAGCAGCAGACCCTGCCAGCTAATTTATCAGAGAAATCCAGCCTGCACAGTTTCAGGTCTACAAGCTCCAGTAAACCCCAAAAAACATGGAATTTTTCCCCATCTCACATTCAATTTCACATGTGCAATCTGTGATCCTGCACCAGGAGTTTTAGACTTTTTATAGGCTGTATTGGGACAAAGGAAAAAGTGCCTAGAAAGTGAATCTCGTTCCACTTAAGTGGGGCAACATAAACTGTGATTCATAAAACAGCTCTATTGATAGTAAGTACTAAAAAAAAATATCTACTCATGCCATCCAGTCAATTTTTAGTAATCAGTGTCTCAGTTTCGAACTATTTCCTTTCTGCGGTGTAGTGATACTTGCCCACACGCAATCGAATATGCAGAGGGGTGAAGCGATTTTTGTCTCGTGGACCAATAGGAGCTGAGTCTCTTTGCCATAGTATCAGAAATACACAAACATGGCGACGAGCGCATCTAGCAGTGAGACAAGCGAAGAGATCATCTGATCATCTGTCCAGAGTGAAGACATTCATGACTTTACAAGGACACGTTGGGAAAACTTACAGAAGTAGTATTAGAAAGTGGCTTTCTCTACAGGGCGGGACAAAGGACCTTGCAGAAACTTATAAACATTGTGTTGATATCGACTTTGACAATGTTCCTGATGACGCTGGGTTTCACATGACATGCTACAAGCGATTTATTCATCTGATTATCTGTCCAGAGTGAAGACATTCACGACTTTATAAGGACACGTTGGGAAAACTTACAGAACAAGTATTAGAAAGTGACTTTCTCTACAGGGCGAGACAAAGGACCTTGCAGAAACTTTGCGTTGATATCGACTGACAATGTTCCTGATGACGCTGGGTTTTACATGACATGCTATCAGCAATTTATTTGCAAAAGGCGTTTGAGAAACAAGAACGTGATGCAGCCGCGGGTCAGTCAAACCCTTCAGCCAGCATCGCCGATGCATCCACGTCGACGGAATCTGAAACTCTGCGAAAGAAACTTCGCTCGAGGTCATAGGCTGAATTGGGACAAAGGAAAAAGTGCCTAGAAAGTGAATTTCGTTCAACTACGCTGGTGCTACTTGTTCAATGCATTTTTGCATCGACAATACCATTCTGGACTTTGGGTTAAAATATCTACTCAGGCTATCTGTCCGACTTTTGTCACCAGCCAGAAATGTACATATATGTGAGTAACCCAAAAAACAATTATATGGTGCTGCTGTTTTTGCTTGTAGAAACTGCTATGTTGATTCTGGCGAGACAAAATCTTTCTCAAATGTCATAAATACATCTACCTAACATCTGAAACAGTTATTGGTGCCTTAGTATACGCATATACGCAACCAAATGTGAGACTGAACGATGTTCTTGTATGTCTGCAAGACTATCTTGTACAAATTTATGTCGGTGCCAAGCATGTGAGAATGCTTCAAAGGAAACAGAAGAAAGAGCTGTATGGGATGATGACTCTGATGAAAGTGATAGTGATGCGTAATATACGCACCATGTCACCATGTACAATTTGTTTTGTTTAAAGGATTGCTACACCGAGATTTGAGATTTTTGTTATTTTTGTATTTGTTTTACATTTGTCTGCATTTGTGTTTTGATCTTTATTTTCATATTCTGGAGGGATTGATAAATGTCAGATGTTTTGACACTGTGATATTTTACACCATATTTTGAATTAATTCAGACCTTTTGTGCATTTATTTTTGTCTTGTTACATTTTTTCCATGATTCTGATTTTGGGGGGCGTGGAAGCAATTTGATTGACTTTCAGCCATTTATGGTCATGATGTGCTGTTTATATTTTATTGCTTTTTTTACACAGTAGGTTGTGTCATTTTTATGTATGAAACATAAGCTTTTAGCTAAATTTACTGTATATATTTCATTGTGCTGGGTGCAAATCACTTGAGACGTTTTCTTCAAGAAATTTTCTACATTTCATAATCTGAATTCACTTATGTGTATACTAAGGCACCAAAAACTGTTTCAGATGTTAGGTAGATGTATTTATGACATTTGAGAAAGATTTTGTCTTGCCAGAATCAACATAGCAGTTTCTACAAGCAAAAACAGCAGCACCATATAATTGTTTTTTGGGTTACTCACATACATGTACATTTCTGGCTGGTGACAAAAGTCGGACAGATAGCCTGAGTAGATATTTTAACCCAAAGTCCAGAATGGTATTGTCGATGCAAAAATGCATTGAACAAGTAGCACCAGCGTAGTTGAACGAAATTCACTTTCTAGGCACTTTTTCCTTTGTCCCAATACAGCCTATGACCTCGAGCGAAGTTTCTTTCACGGAGTTTCAGATGCCGTGGACGTGGATGCATCGGCGATGCTGGCTGAAGGGTTTGACTGACCCGCGGCTGCATCACGTTCTTGTTTCTCAAACGCCTTTTGCAAATAAATCGCTGGTAGCATGTCATGTGAAACCCAGCGTCATCAGGAACATTGTCAAAGTCGATATCAACGCAATGTTTATAAGTTTCTGCAAGGTCCTTTGTCTCGCCCTGTAGAGAAAGCCACTTTCTAATACTAGTTCTGTAAGTTTCCCAACACGTCCTTGTAAAGTCGAGAACGTCTTCACTCTGGACAGATGATAGATGCATATAGCATAGTTTCATTCCTTTTTTATACACTTTTGAAGGCTGTTTTTTTTTTCTTTCCTTTTCTTTTCTTCTTCTTCGCTTGTCTCGCTGCTAGATGAGCTCGTCGCCATGTTTGTTTATTTCTGATACTATGGCAACGAGACTGTGCTCCTATTGGTCCACGTGACAAAAATCGCTTCACCCCTCTGCATATTCGATTGTGCGTGTGCAAGTATCAATACACCGCAGAAAGGAAATAGTTTGACACCGAAACACTGATTACTAAAAATCGACTGGATGGCATGAGTAGATTTTTTTTTTAGTACTTACTATCAATAGAGCTGTTTTATGAATCACAGTTTATGTTGCCCCACTGAAGTGGAACGAACCAACACGATCTCACTCAGCCAATACAGCCTATTATTTGAAATTAAAATCCAAAAAAAGAGAGAAAAAAGAAAACAGAGATATTTATCTGATCTTTAAAGGCTCGTTTAAAAACAACATTAACAACATTATGAGGGTATTTGTTCAGCAGAGCAAAGAAGACCCATTGTAGCAGAGCACGCAACCCCTCCACAGCAAACAGGCTAAAAATAAACTTACGTGACTTCTTATCAGAGGGACATGGAGTTATACAGGTAAAGCATGTAATTTAGTAAAGTGATCAAAAAGAGACAAAACTCCTTAGTCCAAAAGACAAATGAAGAGCAGGTGCACTAACAGAAAAAGCTGTTTAATGGTTATTTTCCAGGAATATTTCAGTTTATTTAAAGGGGACCTGCCATAAAAATGTAATTTTTGGTTTTTTTTGTGTCAGATAAGGTCCATATTATGTTCATCTTATGTTGTAAATGTGAAAACAAACCGTTACGTCGTTTGCATTCTGTAAAGGTTTAAAATAAAAGAACGGGTAAACCAGGCCAATTGAAAAAGCAGGTCCCTCTGACGTTGCGCTGACCTTGCTCATTATTATTCACGAGCGCGTCCTCGGTATCCGCTACCAGCTACCACTGTATCCGCTATGGGTCTCTTCCAAACGACCGGTGTTTCCTTCGGTTCACTGCCGGGAAAATGAACTTAAAGCTGGGCAGAATAAATGAGAAAACACCGCTTGAGCTCTCCGGCTTCTTCCTCAACTTCCACCTCCTCTTCGGACTCGGGGTCTAAAATATATGGTTTAATACCTGCCGTTTTTAGCCTTTAGCATAAGGTGACCAGACGTCCCCGATTTCCGGGGACAGTCCCCGAATTGGATGACCTGTCCCCGGCAAAAGCCGACCCTGAAAATGTCCCCGATTTAAGCGTTTCATGAATGAGAGCAAAAATGTTGCGTGTGGGCTCGAACAACGGTTATTACAGTAGCCGAATAGGTAGGAAGCACAAGTAAGCAGTCCTGAACAACAGTTCTTACGGGGGTTATAACAAGGGGCATGCGCTGCTACTAAATAGTACCGAGACTTTGTCTGTGATCACACAGCCCCTGCACCGCCGTCGCCGCCGCATCGAATATCCCCGGATATCATTACAGACATCTGGGCACCTTACTTTAGCACACATTAGCATATGCTATTAGCATTAGCATAATAACAATGGATAAACCGAAATCCGAACCTCCACTGCTGAGCCAATCAGAGCACAGCAGGCTTCACAGCAGCGATCCAATCAGAGCAAAGCTCATTACCATAAATGTTAATGAGCCAAAACCAGTTGGTTTTCCTGTAAGGTTTTTTAGGCATACTAAAACAAACCATCAAATAACTTTTCAGCTAAAATTATGTTGCAAACATGATCAGAGGACATCAAGGATTATGAAAAAATGATAAAAATGGGTATGAAATTTTGGTGGCAGGTCCCCTTTAAGTTTATTTAATTTATTGTTCAGCCAAAGTAATCTCTGTTTAACAAAGGATGAAGCTGCTTAGTGTAGTGATGGCTTAGGCTACAAAAAAGGCATGGAGAAAACAAAAAAATCAGACACACCGCACCTTTACACACAAATCCTATGTCTTTTCTACTTAGAATAAAGCAACTTCACAAAGTCTGTGAGGATGAAGGAGTGAACTGTCAGACGTGCAGATTGGCAAACACAGTCCTCATCAGGCTGGGTGCTGAAGGTCTGTCCTTTTTGTAGCTGAAGGAACCGGATCGATATCCCCAATTATCAGAACATGTGGAGGTAACAGCTCTAACAACAATCTCTGAGTTTCTCTGTTTTAGCAGCAGCAGCAGCAGCAGCTCAGAGTTTCTCACTGAGTACTCCTTCATCAGGTTTCATTACAGAGTGAAAGTCTAACCCCACAGGTTTTAGTTTTCCTCTGTGATAGTGTTGTCTTTCTGTCAAAGTGCTGTTAAAGGAAGAACTGTCTTTTATTCTCACCTTAAAACACCTGATATCAATGCTTATATTTTGAAAACACCTTCAGAGTAGAAATACTCTGAAGGTGTTTACTACTAATACTAAACTTCTAATATTGATCTCTGACAGTTAGGGCCGGGTGAAATGGGAAAAGGTTTATCACAATATATTTTTTTCATATCAGTCACGGTATGAAAAATGGAATTTAACAGTGCTTATTGGTAGCATGTCTTTTGCGATACAATAAGCTCCTGCATCTGTGAGGTCTTTGTGTCTCTTCAACATTTTGTCGTAAGGTGTTGTGCTAGAGAAAGCGGACTGAATGGTCGTCTGTTTCAGCTGCACAGACGCCATGGGCTTCTTGCTCTGCTTGGGGTTTGTAAACGTTTGCATTGCCCGTGCTCTGCTGTGTGGCACTGCTTCAGGTGGTAAGAAAGATCTGAGGTTTTCCTCATTTTGGTGAGAACATGTACTCAATGTAATTTGCAGTGCACATTACTCTGCTTTATGTCTGATCTCAAAAAAACTAAATACCTCCACACCACCATTTTCTTGCCAGTGTTGTTGACGATGTTATCATCTGTTTAGCCTTTATCTACATTTCTGCTGGGGGTAGCACTCATTTTCTTTTTTTCTCACCAACAGTGCTGTCGACTTCACTTGTTAAAGTGCTATGGTTGCATGGAGCTGCAGCCTGCTACTATGCAGTTGTTTGCTACTTGGTTCTCATTCAGCACATGATTGGTTCAGCGTGAAGCAACTCCCCTTTCCATTGGCTATTTGTATAGTCTACCAAAACTTGGTGAATGCCGACCATCGAAAAGTATATTGATCATGTTTTTTATTGATATTGAGAGAAATTAATTTTCAATATATAGTTAGCGTTTTATTGCCCAGCCCTAATGACAGTCCTGTTGAGCAGACAAAGAGGAGCTAAAATCTCTGCAGGAATCTAAAACTTGAGTCCAACCTGCTCATGAACTTAAACAAAGTGATTCCTTGTGAACTGTCATGTGACATGTCTTTTACCTCATGACACAGACTGTGTCAGATTTTTATGAGGAATTATTCAGTCAGGTTTCATCATACTCTCATTTACAATAACCCATATATAAAGTATGTTACAGCATGTCTAAGTGATATCCACTTAATAGTAACAGGGTCAAAAGGCTTTGTAAATCCATAGAAATTTTTATTTTTAAAAAAATTATTTTTATTTAATTTTTATCTAAAAAGCTACTTTCTTCATATGCTGATCCATCAGGCTCTTCTGAGTGGTCCTGTCAGAATTACATGAGCAAATAGTACCTATGGTCAGTCCAGTAACATTTATAGTTTATAATTATAAACTGTGCCTACAGTTTTCATAGTTGTAACTCTGTGGATTCTCAGAAGAACTTAAAGACCCACTCTGATGAAAATCATGTTATATTCTTGTTGTCTTTATGTTCATATGCTACAGGACATATCATGAGAAAAATAAGTACAAAATGCATTTCTGAGTTTCTCTTCATTTAAATCACAGTGAACCTATTACAGACCCAAACAGCAGGTTCAGACACAGTAGAATTTTCAACGCCACAAATCCAACCTCAGCCCCCGGAGCCCCGCTCGGCAGGCCAGACCCCAAGAAGTAGAGAGGCATTTGCAGAATAAGTGTGTGCTTTAGTGGATTACAATGCATATGAGAAAGCTAATTATGGTATAAGCTTTCATCATGTCCCCAAAGACATTAGTGTCCAAGAGCTGAAAAGCTCCTATGTTACCTGCCACTTATATTACACCTGCAATGTTAGGCTACAAGCTAGCGTGAAGAGGAGTGTGCAGAGCAGCGCTGTCTCCACCCATGACTCAGAGGTGAATTGCTAATGAGCTACTGGAGCGCTGCAGAAGAAAAGCCCTTGAAAATGACACAGGTAAAGCAATTTTGGCTTTTTCCTGCACTTTCAATGAAAGCCGTTTCAATGCTGAGCTTTTCTTCACCCTGACTCCACAGTGGGACAGGGTTCAGTTCAGTTTAGTATTCTTTGTGCACAGTATATTTCATACAAATGCACACTCATAGTGCTGTACAGGGGACAAATGCAAACAAATCAAATTATTAATAAATAAAAAAAAAACACATTTAAAAATAACATTGTACCCCTATAACTCACACACACATATAAGTTCAGGTTTCCACAGTCCCTATCACCCCCCTAGTTTTGATTTTGATCATTTTGTGCTGTTTTCCCTATTGCTGTTACTGTTGTTGCTGACAGTGCGTTGCAGCAGCACAGAGACGTGTTGTGCAGAGCCTTCTGATTCCAGTGTTTGTCATTTTCCCTCTCAGACTGAAGGACATGGATTACTGGCAGTAGACTTAAGTCATCTGTATGCAACAAGCAGACACAGAGCACACAGCAACACATGCTGGACCCTAGATTATCCTCACTGACACACACACACACACACACACACACACACACACACACACACACACACACACACACACACACACACACACACACACACACACAGATAAACACACCTACGATAAACCCAACATGCACACCATTATCTAATTTCCCCTCAGGGATGAATTACGTTTGTCTTATCTTATTTTTCTTATATTCCAATTAAGGTCCATATTCTGGCTAATATTACAAGTAAGGTGTTTACATGCACAACAGTGCTACAAGAATAATCCTTTTATAACATATTAGACAGCACAATCTGAATATATCAGCGTCATATAATAGATGAAGTTACAACGTTATGAGGTCAAAACATGCTCTGCTTTCTTTTCTGCTGGTTGACTTGCTGCCTCCACAAATACAAACTTGAGTGTTTCCCTCAGCAGTCACAAAAAGACAAGAATCAAAAACATGCTACATTTGGCTTTCTCCCTCATCGGGAACATTTTACTGTGTGTGTTCTTTATATCAAATCAATCTTTCTTTCTATTCACAGCCTTTGTATGTGATGAAACAGCCGTCACTGTTTGACAGAGCTGCTCTATATGATAAATGGCACAGCTTCTTCCTCACATCACTCCTCATCAAATCTTTTAACCAACCTCTAAT